GAGGAGGTGTATATGCGTTCACAAAACAAAATTAAAGTATTAGCACATTAATTTGAAAATAACACTGAAATGGCATGTGGATAACGTTAATAGTATGTGGAGAAAAAAAATTGTACTATATCGAATAAGTTACAGTGTAAATCGAGGGGCGAGTTTATTAAACGAAAGTGTCACACTTATGTGAAAATGTACATGAAAATTGTCAAGATGCGGAAAAAAAATGAAAATATTAGCGTGTGACTATGAGTAGATTAGTAAACGTATAAGAAATTTAACATGCATTTATGTCGTGACTGTCCGGATGATAAAATAACATGTTTGTATGAGCAATTCGAAATATCATGAAAATAGAGCAATAAATTCTTTATGGGTATGACGGCGGAGTAAATCGTGGAAATAAGTAATGTAGAATATAATAGAAATTGGTCTGTAGTGCCAACTGAATATGAGAATGAAGAACAGTGAAATATGATGTTCTGATAAGCCGCAGTAGAGTAAATAGAGTCGCTTAGCGATGAGTGTATTCGAATTTACATAACTGAAGTTTATGTGGGATAAGAAGTAATCCAGCCGTAGGAAGATGACTGCATCAACAGGTGGTGTCCATTGCTGTACTGCAATTGATTATGATAATAAAATGCGAAATCAGCGTACGATGTCGTGCGCGTCGAGTTATCGTTAAATATGTATTAGTAGAATGACCAGAGGAACAGGATAGTGACTGTTGAGACGAGATATGCGGAGTCGTATTCCTTTATGGTCATGCAGCCTAGCGTGGTTTGTGTGGTTAGAGGGATATGCGCTCAACCTCATTTGTTACGAAACCGTTTTAAGGCGTAATAAAAATACCAATACATATGATTACCGATGACAGTGAGTGAGACTGACTTGAATGAGACGAACAAGAGTGTATCTTTGAGAGACTAGCTCTAAACTCTATGTTCTTGTATACCATGCAATGGAAATAGAATACTAATTGAAGTAACCAAATATTTTTGATGCGTAATAGATGCAGCATTCAGTTATACATGTGAATGAATAGATAATATGAAAATAATCATTACTAATCGGCTGGTAATGCGGCGTCGAATACTCGATTTGTGTATAAACATTAAAGTACGGATCATCGTGAAACAAAAATTGCGGAAGTTCGGTTTAAATTGTCGCTGAAAATGTAGGAAACGACGGTTGCTGCCTACCAATGAAATGAATGAACATTAAATGCATCGAGAACATAAGTTCCTACTATCGGAAGTGTGACTCAAAACTTATGTATATGATAGAGTGCAATATTAGACCGAAAATGACATGAAAAAAGATTGGAACGAACTCACCCGAATCAGGAAAATGTTTCGTCATTGGATAATAAAAATAATCCAGTGAGTTTCGAATATCATAACGTGTAATGTCCATATCATTATAATTTGTTCGATTAGTGATATGACTGCGTAAATGTCATAGTTTAATGTCAATACGAACAAAAATAATAATTCCACGTTAGATGATGATATGACATTATTGTAATAATGAGCATGTGATGATTATTCGAATCGTAACGGAATATGTTGTCGATGGTTCCATTTTTGGTTTGTTTTCGGTCGTTGCGTTCGCCAATTCTGTTGCGTGTTCCAAATACAGCTCACCAATATGTTGAGTGTTCGTTCGGCGAGGCATCCAATTTTGTTGCGTGTTCGCATGTCGGGTTAACCAATATGTAGTGTAGTGCTTCGTTAATCGATCGTCTCGATAACCGTTATTATATTAATCCGAATGGTGTATAATATCAGGAGACAAAGGGAAGCGGCAACTACATTTTTATTGACAAATAACATAGGCTAGAAGGCAATAAGCACATGAGTAAATGTTAGCGAGCGAAGAAAAAATAACATACATGGGAGATGGCTGGTAAGCCAACTCGTTATAAGCAAGCATTAATCAACATTTATAGTCAGACTAAAATGAATGACAGACATGTGATAGGTAGGATAAGAAGTGTGCATGCACATACGCTCATATAAAAAAATAGTCAAGGTCAATAGGGGAATAATTAACAAGATCAAAATATGGCTCATAACGTTATAGGTGAATTGGCTTGTCCAGAAACTAGAATAAGCTATGTAGGTGTAATATAGTACACGACGTTACACTACTCCCCACAAATTTTCCTTGAAGATTCCTTCATGTGATTTGAAGATCTGTGCCATAGGGCTTACTTTTAGAGATAGTTTAAAAAATGGAAATTACGTTTTCAACTAGGGGTAGAGGAGTTAGTTTAAGTTGCTAGAACAACTGTATAGTAGTTTGACTTGCGCGTAATTATTAGTTACGGGTGTTCTACCAAAAGTGAGTGTATTCTGAAAAATAAAAATGATTTGATTTCATAAGTGAGCAATGAGAACAAGTTTTTCAGTTAATAGTGGACGGCCCAAGAAATTATGTTTGTGTCCGGGTGACGTGCAGTATCTAATACGAAACAAGTGTTTTCCAACTTTACGATAGCTAACGAAATAGAAGATGGAAGTCCAGGATGCATGTCAGAGGAAGGGTGTTGAAACCCATGATGTCCGAAATCATTAACTAGCTAGTTATTTATTAAAGTCTCAAGCAAATCCTTAATGAACTGCAATTCGCTCATATTCTTCTGTATGTGCTATATAATAACTTGAGATTTTGAAAACCTTGCAATCTTATTAACAGAAAAGACACGTCTGCTAACATGATATATACCGAGTCGCTGAAAAGCTTGTTTTAACCAATAAAACAGACAGTTGGCTATCAAGTTGTAACCCCGTCATTTCAATCCTTATTTGATCCAGGTTTTTCTATACGCCTAAAGACTAAAACGTATGGGTGTACTTTTAATTATGTTGTGATAATACATAAATTTACTAACAATTATGAAGTCTAAATTTAGTTCAGTACCTTATCATTTGTTGTGTTTAGTCAGATACTGCTTGAGTACATGTACTCAAGCACAACTGCAGTTGTGTTCCCGTTGAGAAATACAGATTTTTGGCATCCATTACACTCAACAATAAACTTTTGGGTGAATGGCTTATGTTGTCAATGGTTATCTGACCTATTCAATCGTATCCATTCCCTCTTTTGATTTGACTCTTTAGTTATTCTAGATTTGATATATATATATATATATATATCAAACCTAAAGTATATACTTTATGTATGGTGATTATAATTTCCTCACTTTAACATGATTGATTTTCTTACTGATTTTGGTGAGTTAATGAGAAAATATTCTGAGACATACTTCTTGGTAGACGATCGCGTACCAGAAAAACCACTCATTGACGCCTGTAGATGACCCAATGGTTACTCATAGGGAGGTTATATTCATAACCCTCAATGTTCGCTTTATGTTTACTAATATTCAAACATTTTTAAGTAATTTGGTAGTAAGCCAAACAGTTTGGCAGTTTTCGTACCTTTAGAAGAATAAGGTGAGAATAAAATGTTATTTTCTGGTGGTTAACTTATTATGCAAGGCAGATACTGAGTCATATGAGCTAGTCAGACAGGGTTTTTATGGTGTTTGATGCTGACAATTCAAATCTATATAACTATGTACTCATTTTTGAATCGAATATTCGACTGAACATATGACTGTTAGATGCATTCATTCAATTCCATTGGCTATCTTGTGCTGAGTTGTTCAACTAATTCGAATCCGTTATATGCGAATCTTTCCAATATTCCTTTGTTTTGTTGTCTGCTTATCTATCTATCTATCTTTTTATCAAGAATATGCATATTCCTTTATTATGCAATGTATAAATACATAAAAATGATTACAAATTGACACTCTAAACAGTTCAAGTCTATTTCATTACGATGCAGATAAAGCCGGTATAATCCAGACCTCGGTTCATTTCACCACAATATCATTTCTAGTCATTCTAAGTGCCAATATCAATGTAAATTCAACTTAATTACAAAAAGGTTTAATTCTGGTTCCAATCTGATGCTATTATTAATTCAGTCCAGTTGTGTTTAATTCCCTCTTATTATACTCCAATTATTTATTGCTACTGTAATTGCTAGCTAACTCAAGCACTTGAATATGTATTCGGAAGCGTTCATATTCTATTTCTTATTCATTTAATCTGCTCTCAGTCATCAAGTATTAAGATAACGAATATAACAAATAGCATCGTTAGCATAGGACATAGGAGTCATATTATAGTTATATGAAAGAAATATATATTCAAAATTCAGTATTACTAACAAGCAATATCAGTTGTATGTTAGGAGCAATCCATCTCCAGATAATTCTCATGCGTCTATTTCACACCATGAAACAATTCCAAATGTTATGTCCTGTGAGAAGCAAGTCGTAAAAGATATTTCCAGTTCGAATTATGATTTGAATCAAACGGAAGGTGGTAATATAGACATTACAATGCTAAGATGTCATGTTTGCCCTAATGACTAATACTTTGCACAATACATACAGTGCAATTATTCTGAAGGCAGATGAGTAATATATACCCTAACGAAACGACCAATAAAGAAGAGAGACATTCAGCAATTAGCTACTTGTAAAAAGAGAGAACTGCTGTTTATTTCAGTTAAACTTCTATTTCATGGTACTAATATGGCAACCATAAATGCTAAGTCTTGCTATTAAGATATAATGGAGCTTAATTCATTTTAAAAACCAATGTCATTTATTCTTTATAGTGACAATAAATTATTCACATCCATATGATTAAATACAAATATTCATTAACATCCATATAATATGTTTGGATTCTTACTTCAAATTCAAATAGTCATACAAATCCAGTTACACGGTTATTTGCTTAAAGATAAGGAGATTCGGAATTTTAAAAGTGATAGTGAAAAAAAATCTAGTGTTTTTCCATGGTTTATTTCACCACATAGGTGTTCTGCAACTAGTGCATGACAATGACAACAAGGTGGAGTTCCATATTTCTTTTCACAATCAAAAGCTTATTTTAAACAAAAATGGATAGTGGATAGCAGTGGAATCCAGAACGCGCGTTTCGTTCTATTTGGGACTTGTCAGCTGGATGTACCTGCATCTGAGAGTTGATGTTCGCTCTAGGACTCAAACCCAGTACCGCTCGCTTCAAACGCTATTGCGTTATCCACTTAGCTATTGAGTCCCGACAGTCATCTTTGTTTATAATGCTTGTGAATTGAGGCAGTATTGAGGCAATACACACAGTATGCATATACGCCAATGAGATACTAATCAATTTCAGTTACATTTTTTATCGCCTATTATATTCTCCTTACGTATCATAGAGATAGTGTCACAGCAAATTTTAGTTCTATACTGTTCCAATGAATAAATAGGCAAATAAATGTTTGGACAGGAGGCAAATATATGAGAAAGCACCCAAACCAGTAGATTATTTGCAATATAATAAACTTGTATAGATCAAATGTCCACATTTTCTGTTATAATCGATAAATTTTGGGTTTATAATTAGCATGTACTTTATAAAAAGACGGATAAATAAATGCGTGTGATACATTTGATGAAGTGTAAAAAGGCCATATTCTAATTTGTGATTGAATTTAACTTTTGATCATATTATTTACAGTTTAATAGAAACTAAGTAAAAATATTGTGCTTCATTTTGTTTTTTAACTTCACATTGTAAATATTTTCTCCGCTTTTTATCTCGATATCCATTTTAATTACATTTTCCGTGTAAATAATAAAACCCCAGAAGATTCTTTAATATATTTGAACTATGGCTAGTATTGAATTCCAGGAAGCGCATATCTTGTCTTCTTTGGGACTCGTCAGCTGAATACTTTTTCAGTCTCAGTTAATTCATCATATAACGTAATCCTTGGCCAGTGTCGTCATCACCAGTCGTAATTTCTAAACAGAACATTGAGAGATTCTTTTAAAAACCAGTTACTAGAGATAACACAGTTTTTTTTGGTACGTCAAATGGAAACATAATTTATTATTTCCCGTTATGATTTTGTATTTGTGTTTATTAAAAGTATAATTAGTTGAAATAAGTATAACGTCAAACATTTGATTCGACCGGTTGTACCACTGTATCAGTGTCGTAAAATGAGGCAAAAGAATAATAGCGAATAAGTATTAAGTCAAACAAAAGTAATGTGATAGATCCTAAGCAGTGTCTACAAGGTATTGTGTAGTATTCATTAAGCCTTTCTACCCAGTACTCATTGATTCACCAGCCAATCGACGATTGCCATGAGGTTTCAGCAAATAACTAAGTATATATATATATATATATATATATATATATATATATACTCATTGCCTTAAAACGCCATTACATTTACTGAAAATTGTAAGCTATCTTATTTAAAAACTATTGCTTTATAACGTTTTATTATCTTTCAATTCCGATAAATGAGCTGAAAAGAATTTAACTTTAAAGAGGAAACACTGTGACATACTGGGAATAATAAATTCCAAGCAGTTGTTTCGGCTTATATCAGAATTGCAAGCTGGATGACTACATAGAATTTATGGCATTTTTTCAGAATAATTTTTATTGTAAGTTGACGCGAAGTATCTCCTCGGAGTAGCATCAAGCTCTACTTGAATTACACTAATTCTTTAGGTGACGTCAATTATTGGTGAAAAATTCCTTTAAGCAGTTTTCTCTTTCAGTATAAGAATTCAATTCATACTACATAGAGAGTTATTCATTCTATGTATCTAATTTTGTATTTATTTTAAATATCCTTATAGTATATATATCCATATATATGTATGCCTAACATTGGAAAAGAGCTGCTAATTAATTGATTAGATGGCATTCTGTAACTGTAATAAATTATGGAATTTTCATTCTCACCTAAGTGTATTCGTGCATTTACTCACATAAATTAATTAGTAATGTAATGTCTAAAACAGAATCTGTAACGTTTCGTGAATATAAGTTAACTAATATGATAGAAAAAGAGAGAGAAGTAAATCTTTGGTATCTAATTCACTGATAACTTCATTCAAAAATTAGATTAATAAGACCGGTTAAACTAATGGTGTTGCACATTTTAACATTAATATTTAACTATTTATGCATAGTGATAGATAAATTACTTAAATAACACAAAATATTTATCATTTGGTAATCTCTAGGCCACATAAAAACATATAGATATCACTGTATTTACCGTTCAAAGGGAAATTTTAAAAGCAAGAATGTTTACATTTATTTAGATTTTAGATTTATTGCTTTCTAAGTAATAGCATGATATGGTTTCATCAGGTTTTGTGTGAAAAATAAACAAAATAGATTTAAAATCATAATATTAATCTTAAACCTCATATCTCCTTTGAATAATATCGACCACCCAGCAGCTACTGATGAATCAGCACCGTAATAGTTGAAAACTAAATTCATGGCCTCTGTCAACAATGTTTCAATCACAAATTTTTGATGTTCATTTTATATGGAAAGGACATATAAGACTGACATTTAGTGACTGAAGATAACGGACTGCAAACCAAGTGGTAATAGAGCCATGACATTCAAAACTCGACATTTCTGCACTATGGAGCTGCAACTTATTAATCTTCCTGATAGAAGACGTCAACGTCAAAGTCGGGATCGACAACATAGGATAAGAACGCCTCATGAAGAGATATGAACTAAAGGAAAAAAAATGAGAGTGGTGTTTACAGTATAGCTGTACGCCTTCAACAACATAGTTATAAGCGGCAGTATTTACCCCATCAGTACATACACGAACCTACATGTATTTCACCGGACCACACTACGAAAAAACAGATTGATCACATATGTATGAGTTAAGAATTCAAAAGATTCAACCAAGGCGTGAAATTAAAGAGAGAAGCTGATATGGCTGCAAATCACTACCTGGTTGGTGATTGCCAAACTGAAACTAAAGTCCGAAAAATATTAGACAATTGGACAAGAAGCTCTAGAATAGTTTGACAATGAATGTCGTTTACCCGATGCTGACTTTTTCAGACCATTATCCTCAAAGATGTTATACATCACTTCGGAAAGGTCTCAGAGGAATAACAAATACTGACAGACTTGAAAAAGGGATACTTTTCAAAGTACGAAGGAAAAAGAGATCTCATTAAGTGTTTGGGAACTACAGTGGAACCGCACTATTATCAGTACTAAAGAAACTCTTCAACAGAGTGTTGCTGAAGGAAATAAATATCCAGTAGACTCCAAACTTAGGGATTAGCAAGCTGGCCTTCGTATAAGTTGATCGTGTGCCGACAAAATCCAAACACTACGGATCATTGTTGAACTACTAATCTAATGGAACTCATCTCTGTAAACCAAAATGAAGACCTTCACATTTCAGGAGTTGCATGTAATACAGTGAACATCCTGGATGTGGCTAGACAACTTGAACTTTGCAGATGACCCAGTTCATCTATCCCATACACAACATCAAATGAAGAGGAAGACAGGCAGTATAGCAGCAGCCTCTTCAGAAGTACGTCTCAACATCAACAGGGGAAAAAATAGAGTCCTGAAGTGCAACATAGAAAGCACCAACCAAGTCACAATTGATGTAGAATCTCTCAAGTGTATCTAGAGCTTAGAAGAATCCACTCAACACCAAAACTAAAATCAATTCAGAGTTATTGAGAATAACATTGAAGATGTCCTATTGTACGGAGCTGAAACCTGGCGAACTACTACCACAATCACCAAAACGGTACAGATATTCACAAACAAGTGTCTACTCAAAATACTCCAGAACCATTGGTCAGGGACCATAAATAATAACCTATTTGGATAGAGAATAAACCAGATGGTATTCGAGAGAGTAATTAGGAGAAGCTACTTGGATTGTTTGGATAAAATACACATTGTGGAAACCATGCAACTGCACCACAAGGCAAGCTCTAACTTGGAATCCTAAGGGAAAGGAGAGGTTGCAGACCAAAGGACATGTCTCATCGTATGTTCGAAGCAGGCATCAAAATCATGAATAGAACTTGACAACAACCGGAAAAGAGAGCCTTTGATAGATCCTGTTGAAGGTGCCTGGTCATCGGCCTCGCAAAAGGGTTTGAGTATCGATATGGACCTACATCTATCAAAACTAATTTCAAGTTATGTGATGCTACTCAATCGCTATATAAGTAGTTTTGAAGAATTTTTAAAATTTTAGGATTGATAAACGAAGGTAGACGGTGCAAACTACTTCTTTCTAGAGAGGTATGTTTAAAAAATTTCATTTTGTTGTAAAACTTCCTGACTAACTGCGCTGAAAAATGAATTATTATGACATCATTTTTGTTACTTACTTACTTACTTATATACTTACGCTTGTTACCCCCAATGGACCATAGGCCACCGGTCAGCATTCTCAAACCCACTCTGTCCTGGGCCTACCTTTCTAGTTCTATCCAATTTTTGTTCATTTTTATCATGTCTGTCTCCGTTTCTCGGAGTAATGTGTTCTTCGGTCTTCCTCTTTTCCTTTGGCCTTCAGGATCTCATATGAGACTTGCCTTGTGACGCAGTTGGGTAATTTCCTCCATGTGTGTCCTATCCACTTCCAGCGCTTCTTCCTCCTCTGGAATCTGGTTTGTTCTCTCTCACTGTAAGTTGTTGCCGATTGTGTCTGACCAACGGATCCGAAGTATTTTGCGTAGACAACTGTTAATAAACACTTGTATCTTCTGGATGATAACTTTCGCAGTTCTCCAGGTTTCCACCTCATACAGTAGAACTGTCTTGACATTTGTATTGAAAATTCTGATCTTGGTGTTGGTTGACAATTGTTTTGAGCTCCAGATGCTTTTCAGTTGTAGGTATGCTGCTCTTGCTTTGCCTATCCGCGCCCTCACATCTTGGTAGTTGATAATTAATTAGGCTAAAATTGTTTACATCAGATCTCTGAAAATCTACGTATTCAGATCTTTAGGTCACGGTATACGCATTAAGGACAGATCCGACTATATAAATATAGCTGTTTGTTTATGAAGCACTTGCTGTATAAAGAAGATGAGATTTAGCTAATCTCCAAAAGCAGTTAGAAGAGACAAAGGAGTATCAAATTAAAACTGGTCTTCGGACCAGTCATACGGACGTTGCACATCAAAAGTTTCTCATTGATGTAACCCGAAAATATTCATAAACATTTGGTTGGTTGGTTAATGATTTGTGTGAATAACAGAATCTTCCTCTGGCCCGACCATTGATTTAGAAATTGATTTAATCATTTATTGAGTGATTGATCGATCCATAGAATTCTCCATTTTTCTGTCGTTCATCTATTATTAAAATCCTGTATACATTTGAAGTGATCATAATTTTGTGATTTAACTATTTTTAATCTAGTTGAACGGGAAAATTTTCAGACACTTAAAAGTAACACAGATTACTTTACTTACTTACGCCTGTTACTCCCAATGGAGCATAGGCCGCCGACCAGCTTTCTCCAACCCACTCTGTCCTGGGCTTCCTTTTCTAGTTCTATCCAGTTCTTGTTCATTCTTCTCATGTCTGTCTCTATTTCTCGGCGTTGTGTGTTCTTTGGTCTTCCTCTTCTCCGTTGACCTGCAGGATTCCATGTGAGGGCTTGTCTTGTGACGCAATTAGCTAATTTCCTCAAGGTGTGCCCAATCCACTTCCAGCGCTTCTTCCTGATTTCTTCCTCTGCTGGAATCTGGTTTGTTCTCTCCCACAGTAACTTATTGCTGATAGTGTCTGGCCATCGGATCCGAAGTATTTTGCGTAGACAGCTGTTGATGAACACTTGTATCTTCTGGATAATGGCTTTCGTATTTCTCCACGTCTCCGCCCCATACAGTAGAACTGTCTTGACATTTGTATTGAAAATTCTAACCTTGGTGTTGGTTGACAATTGTTTTGAGCTCCAGATGCTTTTCAGTTGTAGGTATGCTGCTCTTGCTTTGCCGATCCGCGCCCTCACATCTGCATCTGATCCACCGTGTTCATCAATGATGCTGCCCAGATACGTAAAGGTTTCCACATCCTCCAAAGCTTCTCCGTCAAGTGTAATTTGATTGGTGCATATTGTATTGTATCGGAGAGTCTTGCTTTTCTCTTTGTTTATATTGAGACCTACTGCTGCTGAGGCTGCTGCTACACTGGTCGTTTTCTCCTGCATTTGTTGTTGCGTTTGTGATAGAAGAGCCAGATCATCCGCGAAGTCTAAATCGTCAAGCTGCATCCTGCCTGTCCACTGTATCCCGTGGTTTCCTCCAAATGTTGACGTCTTCATGATCCAGTCGATGACCAGGAGAAAGAGAAAGGGTGAGAGTAAGCAACCTTGCCTAACACCGGTCTTTACTTGAAACGAGTCGGTGAGTTGTCCTCCGTGGACGATTTGGCAGTTTATTCCATCATAGGAGTTCCGTATGATATTTACTATTTTCTCAGGCACGCCGTAGTGTCGAAGAAGCCTCCATAGTGTCGTCCTGTCCACGCTATCAAATGCCTTCTCGTAGTCGATGAAGTTGATGTAGAGCGATGAATTCCATTCGATTGATTGTTCCACAATGATCCGCAGAGTTGCGATTTGATCTGTGCACGACCTATCCTTACGAAATCCAGCTTGTTGATCTCAAAGTTGGGCGTCCACGGAATCCTTCATCCTGTTTAACAATACTCGGTTGAAGACTTTCCCTGGTATTGAGAGAAGAGTGATGCCCCTGTAGTTGTCGCACTTGCTCAGATCGCCTTTCTTTGGTATCTTGATCAGAAGTCCTTCTTTCCAGTCTGTTGGTACTTGTTCTTCGTCCCAAATCTTGCTGAAGAGGATGTGGAGTATCTTGGCAGTTGCTGTTACATTTGCTTTCAGTGCCTCTGCCGGGATGTTGTCTGGTCCCGCTGCTTTGCCACTCTTGACTTGTCTAATAGCCATGCTGATCTCTTCAATTGTTGGTGGGCCAATATCGATTGGGATGTCCATGGGTGCTGCTTCGATGTTAGGTGGGTTCAGTGGGGCTGGTCGATTCAAGAGTTCTTTGAAGTGTTCTACCCACCTGTTTCGTTGTTCTTCAATGTCAGTGATTACTTTGCCTTCCTTGCTCTTCACTGGTCGTTCTGGCTTACGGTAATTTCCAGCAAGTTTCTTTGTTGTATCATACAATTGTCTCATGTTTCCTTCTCTTGCAGCCTTTTCCGCTGTCGTTGCTAAATCTTCAACATATTTACGTTTGTCGGTTCTGATGCTCCTCTTCACTTGCTTGTTTGCCTCTGTGTATTCGGCTTGTGCCTTGGCTTTTTCCGCTCTTGTTCGGCTGGTATTGATTGCTGCCTTCTTGTTCCTCCTTGCTTCAATCTTATCCAGTGTACCAACAGTGATCCATTCCTTGTGATGGTGCTTCTTTTGGCCCAGAACCTTTTGACACGTTGAAACGATTGCCTCCTTGATACCTTTCCAGTTGCTCTCCATGGTAGTCCCCTCTCCATTGAGTAGGTCATGAAAGGCCTCGAACCTGTTGCTGAGGGCTATGTTGAATTTGTTGAGTTTGTCAGCATCTCGAAGAAAGGCCGTGTTAAACTTTTGTGATGTTGTCCGCGCCGTTGTCCACTGCTTCTTGAGTTTTAGTTTCATCTTGGAGACCAGCAAATGATGATCGGATGCTATATCAGCTCCTCTTCTGGTTCTCACATCCTCCATCGTCCTCCTGAACTTTTTGTTGATGTAGATATGGTCGATTTGATTCTGTGTAGTGTGATCCGGTGAAATCCAAGTGGCTTTGTGTATGTTTTTGTGTGAGAATATGGTGCCACCTACGACCAGTTTATTGAAGGCACATAGGTTTGCAAATCTCTCACCGTTTTCGTTCCTTCCTCCCAGTCCATGTTGTCGCATGACGTCTTCGTATCCAGTGTTGTCCATTCCAACCTTAGCATTGAGATCTCCCATCAGAATTGTCAGGTCCTTGGTTGGACACTTATCGATGATCGACTGCAGCCTATCGTAGAATTGGTCTTTAGCGTCTTCATCGTATTCATTGGTAGGCGCATAGCATTGGATGACGTTCATTGTAATGCCCTCTCTCTTTGTTCTGAAGGAGGCTTTGATGATCCTTGGTCCATGAGATTCCCATCCTATAAGTGCATTTTGTGCTTTTCTAGACAGCATCAGTGCCACTCCTTGTGTATGTGGGGCATTTTCTTCTTCATGACCGGAGTATAACAGAAGTTCTCCTGAAGACAGTCGTTGTTGTCCAACATGCGTCCAATGTGTTTCGCTGATTCCAAGCACCTCCAGGTTGTATTTTCTCATTTCTGCAGCAATTTGGAAGACTCTTCCGGTCTCCCACATTGTCCGGACATTCCATGTACCTATAAAAATTGTCGCTCTGGTTGTAAGAAGGTGCATCGGCCTCATGACTTCCGAAGGAACTCGGCTTTCATCATGAGACGTCATAATTATTCCTTCTACTCCCAGGGCAGAGTTTGAAAGGTTTGAATGATTTTTTCTGGTTAGCGTTTTTTTAGCGAGTTGATTTTCTACGGGATGGGGTTGCTAACCCCATGCCCAACCCTCCTCCTTTACCCGGGCTTGGGACCGGCAGTAACCACCAGAGGAGCTACAGGCGGAGTTAAAAGTAACACAGATACTGCCATTAAACCTCAGATGTAAAACAGTAAATTTTCTGATCCCACTATAATATGACAAGCAATATTGGTTAATTGCTATTCTGACTTTATTATTTAGGGCAATTCTAGAAACTGCTGTATTTCCGACTCATATTCAAGTACATTAGAATTTAAAATTTCATACATAAAGAACAAGTCAAAATATTATGTCTTCATGAAGAAATTAAAACACGGTGATTTAATCAATTCTAAACAGTCATTGCATGAATCAAGAAAGGATCATGTAAATAAATTGGATTTTATAAATCGAAATTTCCAATCTACCTCAAATCTTAGTAGACAAATCAGTAGGAGTAATAGTAACAGGAGAACAAAGTGTGCTCATCGTGAAAGTTCTGTTTCATCTAAAAATATGTACAAATTAGGTAAGTTTATTCAAAAATCTCTCCATAATGTTTTAATTTTCACTAATAGTTATTTAACGACAAAGAATATTTGAGCGAACAATTGTTTTCAATAACTTCATCATCAGGCTCTACAGTTATGAGTCCATAATTATTATGATATTTTACAAAGGCCAAAATGAGGCATGTATTAATTAATTTGACAATGTTATATGTTAGAAATGGTGAACGTTTGCATCTGTTACGACATATATACTCTAAAATTGTGCTGTTTGTAAATTAGAAAGGTCATCTAAACAATTCAACTGGTATTGTTTGATTGAGTCTTCTTGTTGATGTTTAGGACTGCAATTGATCAGTCTCTTATTGGTAATGTATTGAAGAAGTGTAAAGCTATGAAAATGGGTGCTCTGGCCAGTTTAAGTATTCTTCCTAAATACATTTCTTTTTATGGAACCTTCTATCCCTATAGAAAGTAAGATATGAAAGAAAACTATACTATTATTGTTCTCCTCTTTGCTGGTGAATTTAATAGCTGGATGAACGTTGCTGAAGCTGTTCAACAGCTCTTGTTTGTCAATAATTTCATTACACACGATTAGTGTGTGATAATAATGAATAAAAACAAATTACTACCGAATGACTGATAATCAAGGCACCCATTTAATATAACATTACAATTAGCGTCTTGAGTGAATGTCAGTGGAATTTTTTTACTTTAAGTTATAAACCATTAGGAAAGGACAATGTAACTGACAAGCGTCAAACTAATATAACTATTATACCACGTCAATGATAGGTATAACACAATTTCCTTGTGTATGCAAAGGTCAAGACGGTAGTGCTTGATGGCAATGGCCCCTGAATAATGGAGTACGTTGCCTGTTAATTATTTTGAATGCTTTCGATATATTCACGTTGTGTCCATTATTAATTAAACATTTAGTACTCGCACCTGTGAAAACTTAACTTCACAAGGTTTTCTGTACATATTCCCAGTAATTTGTGTTTGAAAGGAACTATATATATAATTATTCATATAATGATGAGTAATTGATAAAAAGAGGACAATAAAATCTAGATAATTATATCATGGTGGCAATGAAATCCTAGTTCGTTATCACATTTCTCAAAGGGCTGTTTTATATTTTAGCCCAAACGAAATCAGCTGGAATTAAAATTAGCGATTACACCGTAGCAATACTATAATATTGCCTAAAGAATTCTTCGCTGAACAGAAAACGTATATTCATCGTATATCTGAGTATCGATTCTTTTAACCCTTAATGTATGAATCAACCCTTTCAATGAGAAGAGTGTTTGTAGATTTTAAAAAATACATAAATTGATATCATGAGTTTCTTCTCTGCCTTTAAACTTTTTATTCAGTCAATAAATTCTCTCGGTAGTGTAAGGAAAGTTGTTGGAGTAGATATGGAAGTACTTACAGTACTTAAGTTAATGAAATAAGATACCGGTGTACATCTCCAGTAGAATGTTAAATGTGTCATCGCATCCAAAACACGGAATAAAATTGCTTACAGGATGGTTTCTTGTTTGTTGAGAATTATTTAGCATTTGGTCTTACTGAAGTCCAGTAGCTCAAATTTTCCACCTTTGTCCATAATTTCTATATAATCTGCTGATTCGAATCTTTTTCTATGAAACTCAACCAGCCTTGAACTAAGTTGATCTTAGAATGCAAAACAGTAAACAGATAAGTGGTGTTTATAGTATTGAGTGCAGGGTAGTTGATTTATGTAATTTGTCTATATTATGTATAAATATTTGTTATTATATTGTACATCGTGTACTGAATAAGCACATTGATCTATTCCGAACAATATAACAATCTGTTTGTCAAAATATCTATCAGGCTAAGTAACTTGATGTCATGATTCACTTATTTAGGCACTGAAAATTTCCAACCAATACATATAGAGCTCTCTAATTAGATCCTTTAGTTATCAGTGTTCATCGGTATTTTATGGTTAAGTCGAAAAATAAAATTTAGTGTATTTCGATTTTTATTTTTAATTTTTCACAGACCAGTCATATTTGAAGTCATCTCTAAAGAAAAATATTGATAGTTCATCGCTAACAGACAACATTTTTACAGTCAATATTAGGCAGCAAAACTTGTCAAAATCATTTGATTATTCACGTCGCATTATTTTGCCTTTTTCTGAAAGTTTAACAGATAATAACTATGAATTTATTGATTCCACTGAATCTTCAATTCGTTCCAACGGATGTTCAGTTGAGAACTCATGGTCAAATTTATGGCGTAGTGGCCTTCCAGAGCAAAAGTTAACTGTATGGTTACCTAGACGGTATACTGAACAAGATTATGAACATCTTCAGTGTAGATTGAACAAAGCTTCGAGTAGCATAAAACTACATAAAATTAGTTTTCCTGATGTAAATTTCTTAGAACTGGATAGTAGTTTGACACTGAAGACAATCCAAAAGCTCTCACCACAGGTGAATACGACATCCAACAGTTATTGGGCGTTGAACACTCATTGTACTGGTCACAATACCATTACCGCTATTAATAACAATAATAAAAGTAGCACAAATAGTTCCAGACTTTCTAATAATCTTCATAAAATTGAAAATGTACATCTGATGCAACCTGATAATTCAAATAAATTAACCATAATGGGGAATTCTTATCTTGTTAACAGACCTCCAGATATTAAAGAAAAAACTTTGGCACAACTGTCTCTTATTAGAAAAGAAGACAACTGCAAAACATCAATTGATTCTGGTAAGTTAGACTATAAAGACAAGTTTAAATCAAAAGTGTATCCCACTTTGGCATATGACTAGAGATAGCTGAATGAAACCATAGTTTACGTCAAACTCTATATCCGTTCACAGTTTTAATGAGTCCATAATATCTTACCATATATAAAACGAACTAGCGTGTTTTTATAATCGATCGATATACTCTCAGACTATCCACATTCTTGACTCAACAACAACATTATGTCATCAATCAAAGTTCTACCAATGCATTTATTGCTTATATCGTAGGAGATCAAAATTCGCTCTATGTATGTTAAATTGTATTTCATTCATGTTTCGGAAACAACATGGAACTAAGTTAACCGAAAATTTAATCGATATTCAAAAGATTAGGAACGCTGTTTGGATGACCGGAAAAATAAGACAAAGACAGCTCATGTTTATGTACATTGCTCTCACCTTTTAGATTGATACAGTGTATCTTTGATTAAATCTGGACAATAATAAGCTCTTCGGAAAATTTTCATTGTGGGAAGTTGTGGCGATTGTTGAATTTCATAACTTTAAATGACGAACTGACTTCAGTTAGAGAAATACTGAAAACCTAGAAGCACTGGTCAGCTGTTTTGTCCTGATTTTCGACACTTTTAAAACAGAAATCTTTTTTTCATAAGAGAATATTCCTTGAAAATTGTTTTCTTTGAAGAAACCAATCAGTTCAAAAGTTTCAAAAAATTTTAGAAGCCTCTGTAATACAATCTATGAAGTTTCATGAAACAATGAATAGGAAAGACAGAAACATGATCATGACAACTACAATTCCCCTGATGGATCAGACGTTTTAATGTAATTCTATTTTAACCAGTGCACAAATATCAGACATCAAGTCACTTCCCAGTAACTTTGAGACAAACTAAATTTCCATGATAAAATAAATTGGTTTGATTATGCTCAAGATCGAACATATTCTGATTCAAATCTACATTTAACTCGAGATTGTGGATATTTATCAAACTACGACAGACTGTTAGTTGCCTAAGGCTTATTTGTTCGATATGTATAAAACATCAAACGCTATTTTGTATCTATTTAACGTTACTTTTAATGCAATAAACAAGAAGTAATAATACGCTGCCAGCATTGGATACATCTTGCCTTCCCGGTTAATGCTTGCTCAGGATAACACGGATGCTAAAGTTATTTACATTATTCTTTATTTTCATAACAAGTAACACTACTAGAAATTATGTTTTTGAAAATAAATGAGCTATAATTTTGATACGATAAAAAAATTAACTTGCTAGGAAGTTATAATTATGTTCGTTTGAACTATTGAAATTATATTATACAAATTTAGTTAACTAACCTGAAATATTATTGGACTGAGTCATGCTGGTAGGTGTAGACTACCTGGTTGGGATTCGCGAGATGATAGCAATCGATGGTTAGAGACCTTGAATAACATGGCTCAAAATCGTTTGCAATGGCGAAGTGCATCCACTCTGTGTTCTTCTAAATTCTAATCTTCTGAATTCTTCACGTCCCTATCTTTTTTTCTCTTTAAAAATTTATTTCACTGGATTATACTCCTTCAATAATATCTTCAAACCCTAATCTTTCACATTAATGCTTATACTCTTACTAATTCTACCACTATGAGATTTGAATCGACAACTGGATCTCTGTGATAATGTGATATGACAACTCGAACTGATGTACGTACGTACGAAGTTCTACGTTGTGACTGACTGACTGACTGAACCTGAAATATTGTCACAAAATCTGATACTACTAGCAAGTAATTTGTTTGGTTGTTGACTTGAATACCTATTGAAGTGGTCATACAGAGAACTGAAAATGAATTAAGTTAAAAATACGTGAATAGAATTGTAAATAATTGATTTAGATGGAAATAATCTTCAGAATTGTAACTATGTAACCGAATAAAAAGTTGTTTCAACTTAGTCAAACATAGAAAATATCCATTTTCCACTCATGATTTATTAAACCATTAATTGAAATTTACTTAAAGAACAACGTCTAGAATGTGCTTGTTTTCTGTAATCAAACATAGTTTTCATAACTAAGAAGATCCATAAATTAATGTGAAATTTCTCTCTGGCAATAGAAAGCATAGTAAATACAAACATGTCTAAATCCCAGCCACAGTCGAAATTATCATGGGCATGGAAAATGTTATAAATTTACCTGAACGCCATAAACCGTATAGTTTCTACGTACAGTTTCAGCAAAATTTCCAGCTTGTTTTTTAGTTTCGAGTAACAATTAGTTCACTAACTACCTTCCTAATATACCTTTTACTACGATGATTCCATAGTGTGATTTCTGTTCAGATGTTCTTTATTTGTATTATGTGAATGGAGTAAATGTATTAATGACGAATGAAATATAGGATGCAAGTACCATAGTATTAACCTATTTTTTCCAGTATAGGGAATTTTTCAACAAAGATAAATATATTTTCTGACTTCTTAAGAAACATGAATGCTATTTTTCATAGCCCTTTGGAACTGACCTAACAATAATTTCAATACCTCTCCTAATAATTATAATCATTCATTACTGTAATAAAATAAATATGTACGTATTTGACATTCTGTTCACTCAGCCTCTACGGGAAAATTGTGCTAAGACGAAATCACAGAACATTGACATAAAAACAACAGACCATTAAAAACATGTTAAGAACTAAAACAGCCAGTAAAATAGGTGTATTTTATCCGAACCAGTTTGTCCGGTGAAAGCTACCAAAGGAAAGGTCAAAATCAAATAAATAGAAACATTATTGAATGCAGTAAAAACAAAGAAAATGTTATATCTTGTGGCCGAGTGGATGCCTAGTTAATGTGTGACTTGATGAGAACGCCAATCAGGGAGCAGCGAATTATCGATTGGAACAGTGATACACGAAAACCATACAAGCAGTCTAGAGTGCTAACCGGTCCTGCGATCTGCCTAGCCCAACCAGTTAAGTCCAAAACACCAATAACAGCCTCTGTGGTAGGAATCATTATTCACAAACATACTGGGTTTATATACCAAACAAACTGACCACATCGTACCATAAAATGGAAAATAACATTTGTACAATATTTAGCCGAATGTGGCTGTGAATAGTAATCAATAAACTGATGATAACTCAAGGATCGTATGATAATAGTTCAAAGGTCAAAATAAAGTTAGTGATAAGAGGAAACGAATATGATTAGGTTAATTACAATAGGAAATATACATATTATATTGACCAATAAATAGTCCTCAAAAGTTACCATTCGTAATTCTCTTCGGGATACAACAGAAAATGTACCGAGGGAACGAGTTAAGAGAGGAAATTAAATTTCCAAATATATACTAATGTATTATTAACATCTAATTTGAATTATTTCACTGAAAGTTCCGATTAATTGACTTTTATCATACCAGATCATTTGGTATTGCTGGCTTCTTGACTGAGCAATATTGAAAAATTTGTGAAACTACAAATTTCCTATAACAATAATTATATGCCTAGTTAAATAAAAATTCCGTTGATTTATCTACCATATAATTCTTAGAATATTGGACAAACATCTCAGATTTTGTCAGAATAAACTGAAATGATCAATCGATTAAAAGGTGTACGAAACTTAGATCTATTTATAAGCCTAATTTATTATTATGCCAGCTATCCTTATTCATAGTAATGCTAAGCTATTTCTAGATTCCCATAATTATCTTCTGAATGTAATCATATGCTGCTGTACAACCAAACCAATACACTACTCAACATGTTCTCATCTTGAGCACCATAGTAATATGACGCCTGAACAATTACTTGAAACACTTATAAGTATCTATGATATTCTAAACCCATTTATGGCTACTTGATACAAGAATAAAATTTGTTACTTTTACTAAGGTTTAACGATTCATAAATAAGGGGCTTAGCACACAATATAACTACATATACATATGAATTACATATTTCTAAAAGCTACATATTAATTCATATGACGTTATCACATTTTCCTCATGATTGGCATTAGACGATTCAATCAATAATAACCAAGGTTATTAGATGTATGCGTCATCTAAACTGCAGGAGAATGTAACACATAATGCAATCACAAATTTTCGCAACGTAATTTACATTCATTTGGTAAAAACAACAAATTTATTCGCCTAATTTAACTTAAGTGAATTGAAATTACATTAAATAAAGCAACGGTGTATAGTTTTAATTGTTAGTTAGGCATACAAAGCGACTACACGTAACCCGGTTTGTAAATTTTAAACTTGTTTCTAGAACATTCCATACTGAAGTATTTTAAGAATTTTGAGACGTTGTGTATTATCTGTCTTTCATCATTCACACAACGAAAAAGGCGAGGTACATATTCTACTCGCAGTACTACCAACAACCAGTTCATTAATAAAAATGATGATACATTTGTAATATCTCAATGCATAAAAGATTTAATTTTTGATGTTCGAGTCTTATTGTTAGACGCTTCTTTAGAGAATAAGTAGCCATGTTTAAATAGTATATAAGAAATAAAACAGAATATTTTTACTGAGTAAGAACTCAGAACCGTCAGGTCTTGCAGGAAGAGCTTAACCTTTAGACCACTGGGCTAACATCTATTGGTTTAAATGTCTAACTTCAATCAATTCGCTTTATTGTCCAATCATTTTTTTATTGTCTTTGGTGGGTAACTGTCTCACTTCTGACACTGTTGAACTCCACTGGCCATGACTTCTCTTTTCAACTCCTGAAACTAACTTTCTATATTAATTACTAGTAAAGACATGATAATTAGTATAAGGGGTTTATAGAGACTGTTTCATCATTCATGTCAAGCGGTGGCTATAGGATCTCTTATGTCCCCGATTGTTCCTAGTTAATTTATATCCCACATAGAATCATTCATCTTTGGCATTGTCTGCAGACCATACATCTGCCTTTAAAATGTAGATGATAAATTTATCACCACTAAAAGTACGGTCTGAAACGTTCTTGAACTTAATTATTACTTTCTCAGATCACATCAAATTTACCTTTGGGGAGGAACGTGTACTAAGTAAATTACCATTTTTAGACTTTAATCATAAGGAATTCCAATAGAAATCTAACCATCTACCGAAAACCTACTCATTCCCATTGGTACATCGTTCATAATTTTGCACGTCTATTTGGTTCGAAAATTCCGCTGGCTCTAAATTGATGCACACAAGTCACCGAAATCACTACACCAGGAGTAAAACAAGTGGAACAGAAGAATATCATAAAAACTTGCATTTTGATAATTTTCGCAAGAAAATAATTTCAAATTTACTAAGGCGAAATAATCTATTATTGAGTAATAAAAAATAAAATGTAATATCATGAGTTAGTACTGTATTTCTAAAACACTTCCATGGTACAACAGAATAACCATACAGAATTATAGGTTTTTGTAAAATAACTAACATTTCCAAATGCTTTAGTTCGAATGAAGAAAAAAATCCTTTACCCCTCGATGCAATGGTGTCTATATATTAAGATGTGTCGAATCAGATGCTTTTTATGTTGGAGACCAATCTTTTGAAGTCAAGGCTCGAGCCAAGGAACATCCAAGCCGTACAAAACGACTTCCCAATAATCCTGCAGCACTCGAGGGTCTTCAAGTCAAATCTTCATTATTGTACATGCTAATCTCAACAACCATCAAATCAATATTAGTAATATGAAATTAATTTGAAAATGTTTTCCCCAAATATAAAGAAAAGTGAGTGGCTGTGGCTTTTCATAAATCACTAAGTCCTAGTATTCTCAATAGAGAGAAAGGCCTAACTGTTCATCCAACTTGGACTGTTTACCCAAGCAACCATATATTTAATTCTATTCACAGCTCACACCACTAATGTATATATATGTATATACTTTACTCTTCCTTATTACAGGGATCACAATTTTTCACATTAATTTACACACAAAGAATCACATAACATTAACATGATCAAACTTGTTTTGATTAAACTAGAGATACTCTGCTTTGTTTCTTATTTACCATTTAAATTTGTATTTATTCAATTGGATTACTTTTATTATGATGCAGAACGTTAGAAATTATGTTTTTTACTCATTGAGATACTACAAGTTTATTATTATTTTTATCCTAACAACCTACTAGACCTTCAATCTACTTGAAATTATCAAGTCAAACCTTAGTAATAATACTCACAAACCAATTCAGCACCATGATTGGTTTTCAAAATGTTGAGAATTGTAATTTTCACTGATATTCCTTGTCAGTTTCAAATCACTCAGAATCAACATGTTTAGTTGATGGACTTAGGTATTATGTATTATTGAGCCTGCTCTATTATATTTGACATATATCTACCTGATCA